TCGTTTCCTAATGCATTAAATTAACCCAAACAAACCAAATGACCCGAAAGCTTATTTTCGGTAGCCATGACAGTCGTAGTCGCCGATTCCGGAAGCATGCAAGCAGAAGAGCATCGAACGCAGAGTTCGAGGACCAGGTTAGCATGAGGCACTCAGCGACAAAGCAAGACCTCCAGATCGATGGCAGAATGAAAAGATGTTCAACGGAACCAGATGGGTACGAATGCAGTAAACAGGAGTTTATGGCAACATCTTAGGGTCAATAATCCTGCAGTGAGACAAAAGCGCAGATTATGATTATATGCAAGATTTTTCTTCTATTCTGTTGCGATAATCGTACTGAGGTGAATCAAACCAACTGGATCACATTTAGTTCATCCCAGAGTGATATGACCCCATGCAGTGAGTGATTTCCTTTTTTCATTTCAGTAACCATTCATTTCATTTGTACGACAGAGTGAACGGAACTCAACCACTTCAAAGTGCCCCATGCAGCTCGTTATTTCCAACCGTCTATCTGAAACCGTCGAAGCTGTCCGAACATTTCAACAAACAGCATGGCGATGCAGCCGCTCGACATGAACTTGACACCTTGTACTCCATAAGGGCCCGATTTTATCGTAGCAGAAATACGAAGTCGTTTGCACACGTGTCACTCAACAAACTCCTGTCACGATTTTCGACAGGGGTTTGAAAACACATTTAGAGAACAAAAGATGAACAGACTGCAGCAGACGATTAGAACTTAGAGTACTGAAAAATACGATATGATACTCGTGCTTCCCTAATCATTTCGCAAATTCTTGGCGCCCGTCCACACAAACTGTAACTCATTCGCTTCCTGCTTACTTATAGGAAAGGTTCAGCACTTCATAATTATGGAACTACGTCCTCTGAATTTCGCAAAACGAAACATAATCAACACAATCAATCTTTTTTGCAAGTGTCTGTAGTACTTATTAAAGTAGATGCCATCTTCTGAAAAAGTTTCATTTGATTCGTTTAATTTATTAAACTACAAATTACACATTATAGAACACGTTCATTTCAAATTAATTATGAAACCTCAATCCGCTTGAAACTTGTTTGGAAGACTACCTACTTTAAGAAGACGTAATTGCATTGCGACTACAGAAAAGTGACGTGCGTGAAGAGCCTCAGGTAATGACGAAGTTTGACCGGATCTAATTGCTGCGAATATGCACCCATTGATAACACAAGATTCGAATGAAACCGAAATCACCATCGTTAACTGTACATCTTCTGTGGTTATTAGCGAAAGCTGGGGGATGATTGCAAAACTGATAAAATCGTTTTAATGAGAACTTCACACTAGTTTGTTGATTATTACTCTAGCCGTCCAGTTTAACAACACATTGGTTGTAACATACTGTTCGCTTGTTGGGCATCTGCCTTCAAACATTCATTTGTACTTTGCCTAGTCCTGACGATGCTACGCTCTACGTAGCGAAACCCGTAGTCAATAAAGTGTTGTACCTTCGGCAGCGTTTGGTGCCGAACCATGAATTGTTCAAACACTTGTCTTTACAACCATGGTCCCAGAATCGAAAGCATGAAGTATTACTTATCATAACTTTCTGAATCTTTTATGCTCCTTGAAAACATTCCATGCGCCAGTGAAAACCGCGACTGCTAACGTGATTATCGATAGTGTTGTGGTGCTTAGCAAATGGTATCGATTGTGGCTACCACACGCCAAGGGTAAGACAGTAAGCAGTTAAACATAAATGTTAAACATTAATAATTTTAAGGAAAAAAGCCCGCTCTTAGTTAACCACTGATCATAGGTTTCACCGCCGAACATAACGAATATTGAAAAACATATAGCAAACGTAGACAGCACAAAAGGCATAAGTTCGTTACGGCAAATTTGTAAATGATTGGCCGTTACCAATATACTTCGCTTTTAATTTACGCCATATTGAATGTTAAACAAGGCTATGATGAGAAAAACCAACAGGGTAGTGCAGAATTTCGAACTTTTCATCCTCTGGAAAGGCTTCGACTAAATCTTTGTGTGTGTAAGCATGTTTATTCGCAAAGCCGATATATTGGAAGCCTGATTCGCGTAACGAAGCGTCCACGGAAGAATTACTAGCTGCCTCGACCATTTGGAATGAGTTAGAGAAATGAGAGACAAATAGCCTCAGGGTGTCTGTGAAAGCGAAACGAGGAGTAATTTCATCGCAGTTACGAGGAAGCGCATTCGCGAATAGCGTAAAAGAAAAAAAATCAAAAAGGGGCGAGAAACCACTTTAATCAATGGAATCTTTGAGGTAGAATTAGAAATATATTTTACTTCCTACATAGACGTACGCGAAAATACCTTGTAAATTCAACTCCAATGTCCGCAGCTTGGAAGGTAGATGACCACTAACAACAACACTGGACTGCATGTCGGATTAGGTCCGAGCTGTTATACTCGAAATCTGAGAAACCTGCTCATGTAG